CGCCGCGCTCTCTTCTCTCTCTCTCTCTCCTCTCTCTCTCTCTCTCTGCTCTGCCTCTCTTCTCTCTCTTCTCTCCTCGCTCTCTCTCTCTCTCTCTCTCCTCTCTCTCTCTCGTTCTCTCTCTCTCTCTCTTGCTCTCTCTCTCTCTCTCTCTCTCTCTCCTCTCTCTCTCTCGCCCTCTCTCGTCTTCGCCTCGTCTCTCGTTCATCTCTCTCTCTCTCATCTCTCTCTCTCTCTCTTCTCTCTCTCTCTCTCTCTCTCTTAGAACTGTGGATATCGCCTGTAGCTGTTTGCATTGCCTCGCCGTTGTCGCTCTTACGTTTCCGCTTGTCGGTTGGGGCACCGCCTTGGCGTACGAATTCCCGGCATCTCGTATCTCGACGCTTCTTCCCATAGTCCATGTCCTTACTATTTACCAGTATCATGATGAGTGAACTATTTCAGGGAGAGCGATATACATTCGCTGATGTGCGGTAGTTTTGGAATAGATCATTGATCTATGTCTCTTCACTCCGATACTTGCGGTAACGGTTTGCATAAAATGTTAAAAATTTCTTACGCCATCGCTTCCGCATTCGCGCACCGCGTAGGGTTTTTATTAGGTACTCGGTGACTAGGTTGACATTCTCTCGCTCTGAAACGACCTGCGTCTTGTGGTGGGAGGGTGCGTTGGGTTGTATATGAACTGATTGCATGGTTTTTCTCTCTCGCTCTCGCTCTCGCAATCGCACTGAATATTTTTAGGTTATGGTGCTATCGTTACAGTGCAACATTTTCTGGCTATTAATGTTATGTATCGTATAGTGTTGTCTGATACGTTGGTGCCAATATTGAACTTTCTCTTGTGGTATTGTATATGAACTCCTGTGTGTGTGTTGTGCGGTTGATGGGGTGCGGTTAGTGTATGCATACAATTTATTGCTTTGCTTTAGAATGACATCAATGAATGTTAATACGTACATTTTTTAGCATTGATGTGTATTCATGGTATACTCATTGTTAAAATGATTCCTCACCACGACTCGCTCCTCTCCTCTCAATGTATGCATTATATTTGATATTTTAATACTGTAATATCTTCATTTATGTTAATGGTACGGTTGCTGCCAAAAATTTGTTCTAAAAACAATAAGAATCAGGGCGTAGCGCAGGCATTTTCAAGTTGTAGGCCGGCACTATTCTGAGCGCGAGCACACATCGCTGTTGGCGCGGAGCGCTCAAAGAAAATTGTTTTGCGTTTTACAAACCCCGATGGCGGAACGGCCTTCCGAGTGTTCATTCTTGGTTCCCTGACCTCTTGCTAAACTTGAGGAACTCTATTCTAATTCACTTTTAACCCGCAAACACAAACGAGTTAAATGTGTTACGAACGAGTTAAAATCGTTAAAAAAATTGACCTATCGCGTCTGAAATTTAGTTCTCGGTATATAGTGTTACGAATGAGTTAAAATGTTAAAAAACTGACAATATCGGATCCTAGTCTTTTTCGGCGGGTAGAGTGTTGAATGAAACGGCACGCGATAGAAATGACAGCCTAGATGACAGAAGAATAGGTCACCTAATTTAGCCATATTCTCGCTACGTTCATTTGAATAGTTTAATTTAGCCATATTCTCGCTACGTTCATTTGAATAGTTTAATTTAGCCATATTCTCGCTACGTTCATTTGAATAGTTTTTCCTGCCTAGACTCTTAAACTCGTCCAGCAAGCTTATGTATTTGAATTATGGGTGTTTAAAAAAAAAAGGTAACTTGGCCAAAAAAAGTGTAGGCCCGGGCCTACAGTGCTACATACTGGCTACGCCCCTGGAAGTAACAGAAAAACGGGGTGGCTTTGTAACCATTGTCATCAGGGTAGTACAAAAGAGTTAATTGCTTGCATTTCTGTGTCCATTTCTAGGAAACACCGACATTTTGCAAGGTAACCTCAAGTTAATTCTCGGTTTGGTATGGACTCTGATTCTGCAGTACCAGATCGGCAAGTCAAAGAACATGTTCCCGCCAAAAAAACTCATGATGACGTGGGTACAAGAGGTCATCAAAGAGTGCCAGGTGACGAACTTCACAACAGACTGGAATGACGGCATTGCGCTCAGGTTTGTGACGGTTTAATGTTATTAAATTACAGGGATGTTGTCGTGCAGCTAGACACAGAGCAATTTTAAGGTTCAAAGGATCCTTACATCTACAACCTAGAACCTTTCACAGTTGATAAATCATGCCTATACTTCAACATATCTGTGTGTAATTGAGCTATTTTACTCAGCAGCGATAAAACTACTCACTAACGACTAAGATATGTGCATGTAACATGTCCTTGCGCGCAGGGATAAAAATACTGAAAATATAACACGAATGAGTGGAAACGTTGCAAACACCATGATTTGAATCGATAATACGATATCAGGAGTGTATAATATAGATTTATGTTATACACTATACTATACACTATTATATATTATAGTCTATATTATACACTCTAATGATATAAGAATTTTTGCATCAATACACCAATAAATACCAGCAAAAAATCGTTTAAATCAGATAATACATTGATTAAATTGTGCCTGCTAATGAGATGCGTAACCACGCTCAATTGCAGTGCGCTGATCGATTACTGCGAACCAGGGCTGTTTGCCAACTGGCGCCACCTGAACCGCAGAGAGCGGCTGGCAAACTGCGGGGACGCCATGTTGGTCTCGCAGCGTGAGTGGGGCATCCCGCTCGTCGTGTCCCCGGAGGACTTCTCGAGCGATTACCTGGACGAGCTGTCCGGCATGACGTACCTGTCCTACTACATGAAGGAGGGATCGCCGGGCTACCGCGCCACGCTGCAGTGGGTGAAGCAGAAAGTCGTCGACATGCATGTGACGAACTTCACGGTGAGTGAACCGCCCGCGTGCGGTGTAGATGACGGCGTAGTCGGCCACACGTTAGCGTTACCATCTCTTCTTCTCTTAGTTCCTTCTCTCCTCGTGGAGAATAGGGCCGGAAATAAAATCTCTCCATGACGTTCAATCTTTGGCAGCTCTTTCGGCCTCGTTCTATGTTTTAAACCCTAATGTAATCCTTTCTTTCTTCACTGTCCTTCGCCATGTTTCCTTTGGTCTTCCCTCTTTTCTCTTCCCTCCGGGGCAGCGTTGCCATACTGCCGCGATACTGCGGCGGCAAGCGCAGGTTGGTATTGTAGAGGCAGCCACATGGATGCCATCAGGAGTCTATCAATAGACTCCTGATGCCATGTAGATACATAGATAGATACATATAGATACATACATAGATACATATAGATACATACATAGATACATATAGATACATAGATTTATGGGGAGAGATTGATCTGTTGTCAACGTTATAAAACTTCCGTGTGAAGGTCTTCAGTGGGAAACGTTTTCTGTGATCTTTTGTTTGTTTTTCACAAGTAGTTTTGTGTGTTTGCCCTGAATATCTTATAAAGGAACATTTTAATCACACTAATGTTTATACAATTTTTACCACATCTGTCTTGCATGCAGACTGATTGGAATGATGGCCGTGCATTGTGTTCGTTGGTCATTGCCCTTGGAGGAAACGTCGTCGGCTATCCTAACCTAAATCCCAACGAAGGACAATACAACAACCAGCTGGGTGAGTTCTTTCTCATCTACTCACGACTTGTGTTTGCCCCATATAGCAAAATCTTTGACCTTGCGTGTAAATGTCCCCGGTCTGTTAACGACAAAATCAAACAATCAGACAACAACAAAACATGACAATAACAATTACTATGGCAATAACAATATGCATACATCACATCATCATCATCAACAACAACAACAACAACAACAACAACAACAACAACAACAACAATACAACAATAATAAACAAACAGTAACAAAACAAACAATAAGCAAATGCCCAACTACACTAGGTACATTTAAAACACCTAGCCCCTCCCCATCCATCTAAAAATATCTACCCTCTCCCCCATCTATCTGCTCAGCAATCTTCATCCATAATTACTTTTAGAAGTCAATTCTATAAGTATTCTCATGACTTCAACTATTTTATTTATTTACATATCTTATATATCTCACATGTACATATTTAATATCTTTTCATTTTATTGCTCAGTCGTTTGCGATATCGATGTGCTGCGCTTTTGATATCATTTTATGTAAAAAGGCGCAGTATAAATAGGCCTAAATAAAATAAATAAATAAATAAAATATTCGTATATGTGTAACACCGCAGGTATTGATGCTGCGAGGAAGCTTGGGGTGGAGCCGGTGCTGTCTGCGAAGGCCATGGCCGACCCTGACGTCGAACACCTGGGCATCATGGCGTACGCGGCGCGCTGCCAGAACGCAAAACCGAGGATGAGCATGGAGGAGCGAGTCGGAATCACCGGCGACGGTCTGAAGGTGGCCTACGTCGGCAAGACGGTGAGTGATCGACGCATGCACACACGTGCGTGTACGCACACATACATACATGTAGCTTTACTCACACACACACGCATGCATGCACGCATACATGCATGCACACATGCATACATACGTGTACATGTATGCACGCACACATGTACGTGTATGCACACACACATACATGTACGTGTACGCTCACACGCACGTACGTGTACGCACGCACACACATACGTGTACGCACACACGCATACGTGTACGTGTATGCACGCACACATATATGTACGTGCATGCATGCACACACGTGTATGTATGCACACGCACGTACATCTACGTGTAAGCACACACACGAACATGTACTTGTATGCACACACGCACACACGTACGTGTACACACACACACACACACACACGCACATATATGTGTATGCACACATGCACACATGTACGTGTATGCACACACACATACATGTATGTGTACACACACACACACATGCATGTATGTGTATGCACACACACATGTGTGTACGTGTATTCACACACGCATACCATACATGTACGTGTATGGCACTGTATGCGCACATGCATACGAGTACGTGTATGCACACACACATACATGTATGTGTACACACACAAACACACATGTATGTGTATGCACACACGCATACCATACATGTACGTGTATGGCACTGTATGCGCACATGCATACGTGTACGTGTATGCACACACACATACATGTATGTGTACACACACACACGCACGCACGCACGCACGCACGCACGCACGCACGCACGCACGCACGCACGCACGCACGCACAGACACACACACACACACATACGTGAATGGGCAGGCACTTGCACGCTCAGACGCACATATACATACAAACGTACGCATGCATGTGTACTCACACTTTTGACACCTCCTCATACACTTTTGGATAGCAAAGGCACATACACACCTAGCCCCTTGACACATGCCCGCGTCCATGCACTCACAAGGTACACTCACACACACAAGCATGCACACGTCCACACACACACACAGTACGTTCACACACACAAGCATGCACGTGTGCACATATTACGCGTACTGCACAAGTGTAAATTTTTATTAAATGTGTGACAGGTATTTCATGATGGGTTATATATATATATACAGGGCCGTAGTGGCCGCCACGGCAGCACGGCACAGCCGTGGCACTATTGTGCAGGGAACCAAGGAGCAACATATACCAAGGAGATAAAACCCCGCGGGGGGGGGGGGGGGGGGGGCACTCACCCCACATTATGATAGGTATGTG